TGTCCCCGTGTCCCTCCCCACCTGAGGGTCTCCTTGATGGTGGCCTTGAGCAGCGGGGTGCATTGYAGCATCCTGGCCCTGTCGCCGCCCGTGTCCCTTTTAGCTGCCAGGACCTCGCTGCGSAGCTGCTCCTGCACGCCCGGGGCCCGCGCCAGCTCCCACAGCGCCCACTGCAGGGTCATGGAGGTCTGGGGACAGTGACGGGGACAGGGACAGGTGGGGACACGGTGACTGTGCGGGGCACAGCTGCCAAAACCTGCTCCCTGTCCCACTCAGCACCAGCCAGCCATGCACCAACCAGGACCTGCTCCCGCTGCGGGTCACAGCTGCCAGGACCTGCTTCAGCCAGGACCTGCTCCTTTGTCCCACTCAGCACCAACCAGGACCTTCTCCCTCCCCAATTTAGCACCAACCAGGACCTGCTCAGCACCAACCAGGACCTTCCCTGTGCCCGGTTTAGCACCAACCAGGACCTTTCCCCTCCCTATTTTATCACCAACCAGGACCTTCCCTGTGCCAAATTTATCACTAACCAGGACCTTCTTCATCCCCAACTCTGCACTAACCAGGACCTTTCCCGGTGCCCATTTTATCACCAACCAGGACCTGCCCAGCCCAATTTGGCACCAACCAGGACCTTCCTCCAGCCCATTTTATCACCAGCCAGGACTTTCCCCGTGCCAAATTTAGCACCAACCAGGACCTGCTCAACACCAGCCAGGACCTTCCCCATGCCCATTTTATCACCAACCATGCCCCGCCCCCGGCGCTGACCGTGTCCACCCCTCCGGCCATCATCTCGGTGACGCTGGCGCGGATGTCCCCCAGGGCCATGGCGTCGCGCAGGATCAGGTTACCCAGGACCCCCACGTGCTCCTGGGGGCTCTTGCGCTGCAGCCGCAGGTCACGGTACACGCTCTGGATGCACTTGTCAGCTGAGGGGACATGGGGACAGCCAGGGGACATTGGGGACAGTGAGGGGACATTGAGAGACATGGGGATATTGGGACATTGAGAGACATGGGGACATTGAGGCACACAGGGGCAAAGAGGGGATGTTGGGGACATTGAGGGGCACAGGGGCATTGAGGGATATGGGGACATTGAGGGACACGGCTTCAGCGAAGGGTCATTGGGGACATGGGAGCATTGAGGGGACATTGAGGGGCATGGGATCATTGAGGGGACATTGGGGGACATGGGGACATTGAGGTGCACGGGGACAACAAGGGGACATTGGGGACAGCGAGGAGACGTTGGGGACATTGAGTGGACATTGAGGAGACATTGAGGGACACGGGGGCATTGAGAGATGTGGGGACATTGAGGGGGCATTGAGAGACATGGGGACATTGGGACATTGAGGGACACATGGACACTGACAAGTACAGGGACATTGAGGGACATGGGGACACTGAGGGATGTGGGGATATTGAGGGGACATTGGGGACACAGGGACAGCGAGGGGACATGGGGGACATTGAGGAGGCATTTAGGGACATGGGGACATTGAGGTGACATTGAGGGACACAGGGACTTCCAGGGGACATTAAGGGACAGCCAGGGGACATGGAGACATTGAGAGATGTAGGGACATTGAGGGGACATTGGGGACATTGAGGGGGCATTGAGGGACGTTGAGGGGGCATTGAGGGACACAGGGTCATTGAGGGACATGGGGACATAGAGGGACATGGGGATACCAGGGGTGGACACGGGGACATTGAGGGGACACCGGGGGAACACAGGCACATTGAGGGATACAGGGACATTGAGGGGACAGCTGAGGAGGACATGGGGACATTGAGGTGGCCCCAGTGACACCAACCCTGTGCAAAGATGGCGTCCCGGGCCTGTACATGGCGGCGCCAGGCGGGGGACATCAGGACATCGAGGGGACACGGTGACATGGAGACAAGGGGACACAGGGACATTGAGGGGACATAGGGACAAGAAGTGGGACATGGTGACACTGACCCTGTGCGAAGATGGCGTCCCAGGCCTGCACGTGTCGGCGCCAGGCGGGCGCGTTGAGGCGGCGCAGCAGCGCGGGCGGCACGTGCAGCATGGGAGCCGTGGTGTGGAACATGAGCGCCACGGCCGCGATGAAGCGCTGAGCCTCGGCCTCCACGAAA